CCCCCCCCCCCCCCCCCCGCACCGCTCCAGCTCCGCCCCCGATGCACCCGGACAACCAGGCACCAGCCTGGGGACAGCCCCCCACCACCCCCGGGCAGTGCTCGTCTCTGCCCCTGGATTGTGCCCACGGAGTCTCCATCCCAAGGGGCCAGAGGGGGAAAGAAGTGGCCAAGAACTCGGTGTTTCCCTCCCGCTCTGTGGTTCCCCGTCAGAACTTCAAGGGCTCCGCGCTTCCGGCACCGCTCGGCTTGTAAACGAGCTTTCTAAACGAGCTCTGAGGGCCCGATACTGGCAATAAACACGGACACCTGCCGGGTATATATGTTCACTGGCCGAGTTAATTACAACAAGGGGAGGCGTTTGAAAATTTTAATCCTCTTTGCTTTTTACAACAGAACCAAAAGAGAGTCCACTTAATAACCAATCTCACCTGCTGGTTTCTGCAAACCAGTTATCTTAACAGTATTTTAACGAACAATAATAATATTAGAACAATAATTAGGGAGAAAGTTAATTGGATGATACAGCTTTTCCACAACCCAACGAAAACACCTAAGAAACTAGATAGTTTTTGGTCCCATAACCCGCAACCCCACCGCCTGCGTTTCACGGGGGCCCTGAGAGAGACGGAGAGTTTGCGGGCGACCCTGGGAAAGTGTCCACGCTCAGGGACGCCTCAAGGTATTCAGTACCTCTCTAGTCTGAGTTGTATCTTAGCAGCCCATCTGGAGAGTTAATTTCAAAATACTGCTAGTGAAAACTCACCGTGGCTCTTTAGGCAGAGAAGCCTCCAGAGGAAAACCGCCCAGACGGGGTGAAGTCAGGAGGAACGGACAGACTTCTCCGCAGAGCCTTCAACCCTCCCTCCCTCGGCGTCGGGGCAGAGGTTTCTCCCGACATCACAGGAGTCCTCGCTCTCTCCCCAGGGCCACAGAGCAGCGTGTCACGTCCGCACTTCCTCAAAAAGGGGGCTTTTGATCGCCGAGACCCTCGGCCCCTGCGCCAGCCCCCTCGGCGCCCTGATGCGGACGGAAAGCTGCCCCCCTTCCCCGCAGCCCCTTAAACAACCCTTCCAAACTCCGGCTCGCCT